TATCATGTTATTTAACGAGTCCAGGGCTTGGTGAAAAGTCTTAGCCAGGTTATTGAGTCTCATCAGATATTCTGCCAACGCTTGACATCTCGAAGAAATATGCTGGATTGTCTCGATTGCATTTTTACATAAGCGACATCGGTCATATCTTTACATATATATTTTTTGTAAGCATTGGTGGATACTACCTCGTTTTGTATTGCCAAAATAAACCCTTTTATTCATTATTGGCGTAACAGACGCATGTAGCGGCCTGTTCAATCTCCTTTGCCCAGTCATCCCTGTTGGCTGCGCATCTGATGGATATGCCATTTTTTATCATGTATTCTTTTACGTTATCTCTCCATCTTTCCTTTGGTCTTCCCCTAGACCTAACTCCCTCCGGCTTCTCATGATAAAGCCTTCTCGCTGTCCTCGCTTCATTTATTCTCAGGACATGTCCTGACCATTTCATTCGCTGCACTAGAGCGAATTAGGAGAAAGACAGATCACCATACATTGAGTATACCTTCTTGTTTGTTCTCATGCGGGGAACTCCTTCCTCCATTTTAGGTCCTATTATCCGTCTTTGTATTTTCCTTTCAAACCGACCTATTCGTTCAGCAGATATCTTTGTTAGAGTTCATGCTTCGGACGCATATGTTGCAACTGGCCGAATAATCTTTTTGTATATCCTAGACTTCGTTGTACGACTTAACAATCTACTTTTCAGAAGGCTCGCTAGAGAAAAGTACGCTCTGTTGGCAGCCATTATTCTAGCTCCTATCTCCTCCTCTTCGTTATTGCTATTGTTAATTATGAAACCGAGGTAGGTTAAGCTTGATACAGTTTGAAAAGTGTGGTAAACGTTTCTTTGATGCATAGCCCCATTTTCCTTGCCTCATTCTCCAACCTACTGAATGCACTCTTAACTGCTTAAAGTGATCGCCCTGCAATGACCATATCGTCAGCATACGCAAGCAGTTGGGTCATTCTGTGGAATATTGTTCCTCCGTTATTTAATCCTACTCTTCTCATGATGGTCTCTAGGGAATATTAAAGAGGAGTGGGGCTAATGAGTCACCTTGCATGAGGTCTGAACAAACTGCAAAAGAATCGCCAATCATCCCTTTTACCTTAACTTTACTGACAGTGCCTTCCATGGTAGCCATCGCTAAACGAATCAGCTTTGCCGGTATGCCCAATTTATACATTGCATAACAGAGCTCCTCTCTAACCACCGTGTCGTAGGCTGCCTAAAAATCAATGAAGAGCATCCACATGGAGTTATTAATACACCCTTCAGTTCCGGGAAATAAGTAGCTTTTCTTAAGCCTTTTTTTATTATTATTATAAAGAAAGGAGATGATCCGGGGTGGCGGTCATAAATAGGCTAAATAGAGGCAAAACTGTTTTATTAAAAGCCAACGTTTCGAGACCTCTATGACTATTATTTCATATTATATCCTTTTTCCTTTTCTTTCAATCTCTGCTAGAAGTATATTCACATTATCATTTATTATATATTACATTACATTACAATTGTTAGCATCCATTTACTTCAGTTTAGGATCTTGTTACTTAGCTTACTCTGTTTATATTTTAATGTACTTACTGTTTATAATTGTAATAAGCTTATTCTATCACTATAATTATTGTCCACGAGACAGATTATATGTCTATTATATGTCTAAATAAATAAAATAAAAAAAAAAGCTTATTCACATTGTTTATCATTTTTTGTCTAAATATTATGTAACTTCCACAATTCTTCATCTTTTTGTATCTTGTCCGCTCTAGCCCTGAAGATGATCTGTAAAGTCGGGTCGAAACGTTGGATTTTAATAAAATAGTTTTGCCACTATTTAGCCTATTTATGACCGCCACCGATTGGACCATCTTCCTTTGTAATGCAACGGTCAACTATTAAATATTCAATATTATTATTATATATTTAATAACTATCGATATCATATGAATTGACATTATTTTTGGATATTTACGTTCTTATTCTCTTCATACAAATTATCAAGCCACAATATTTTGAAAAATATCGATTTGGTCCGTATATGATTATATAATTTATTCGATATTAACATCCTTAGTAAGTATGTAAAAGTTTTAGATACAAGAATTACCGATGCTATTGCTAGCTAGATTAATTAAATTCCATGATACAACAGGAATAATATATAATTAAAAATACAACAATATGCAAAAGATACGATAAATGGAACAGTTGTGCAACAGACGGCACTGCTAGAAGAGAAGGCTGTGCTAAAAGAGGCGTTCTAAGAAGCCATTAGTGAGAAGAAGAGGGACAACAAAGAATTGAGCACCGGCACGTACCGCGTCACAAAAGGGAACTCGCCCGTCTTCTTATTTTGTCTGTTCTGGTCCCATTCGGGGGGGAGGGGAGGGGTAGATCTCCCGCCGGGCATCTTGCGAGGCAGGTCTTTCAGTAGAACTAGTAATTATAAAGGGACTGAGTAGATAAATGGGCTAAGTGGAGCCTGTTCAAGAAAAGTCAAAATAAAAGAAGATAAATCAAGAAATATATACCGACCATTTCATTTAACGGAAGGACTTACAGCTAGTAAACATTTCAAATTCTAGACATAACTCACCAGAATACACAATTTCGGTCAGTAGGTCGAAAGCCGTTGCCTTCTATACGAAAATTTAAATTAAATTCGACTTTTTATTTAACGGAAGAACTGACGGCTGAAATTTTTTTATGTTGTAAAGAATATGTACGCTAAAAGAGAATTCACCTTGACTGATGATGTACTCGGATGCGGTTTGAAAACTGACGATATCAAAATCATCAATCATCAGGCCAGTCGGATACTAGTTAGACACGGGAAAAATTCAAATTCTCTACAGTATCTTATGTTTTTTGGAACGCTGAAACAGAAATTGATTTTCCCAAAATGAATTTTCCATTGCGTTCTGAGATATATGCAAAACACAGCGACAATTTCTAACTTTTTTTTAGTTTTTTGAACATGACTCCGAAAATATACATTTTATCGAAATTATTATTATATACGAAAGTAAATAAAATAAAATTTACCAAGAATTTGATCAATAGTTTTTGACATAGAGGTAACGGGTGAGTAGATAAAGAATTTTGATTTTTTGCTTATTTCACAATAAATATCTCATTTGTAGGTTTTCAGCCAAAACTCATAATCTAAGCATCTATCGAAGAAATTCATTATGATAAAATAGAAAGAGCATTAAATTTCCTATCTCATGTATTTCATAGACATGTTAACATGCGAGAAGATTAAGATCATGGATTTGAATGGATTCATGGATTCATTGCAGTATCTGCCACTGTCAAGTTAAGTGCTTTTTATCTTTACAATACTTTTTATTCGGTTACTTTAACAATTTTATAACATAACTGGTGTCACTCTAATGCGATACCAAGACAAGTCTTGGTCTTGCGCAAGGGTCTTGCAGTTACCTATTAGTTTATTACTATAGAGACGTTACTGTAATTTTTAAGATCGGAGACACCTAACTAAGCCCAAATGAAAATTAGTTAAATGTAAATTGATTATACCAATTCTTTGCTTATAGTAACTAAAATTGTTGGTAAATAAAATTTATCACATTTATATATTTATGCATATATAGTATTATATTGTACGTTTCACAATAATTACGTTGATTAATAGACCCAAAAAGCCACCTAAATACCCATCCTCTTACCGTCCTATCTCCCTACTTCCCATCAAGGGCAAAATACTAGAAAAAAATATATTAAAACGCCTTTACCCAATCCTAGACTCAAATCCTGACCATCAGTTTGGATTTCGGACATCTCATTCCACTATTCAGTAGTGCCATCATGTGGTAGATGTCATTTCCTCAACACTGGAGCGCAGAATGTACTACATGACGGCTTTTCTCAATGTTGAACAGGCTTTTGAAGCATGCAGGTTTACTGTAGAAACTCCATCAATTCCTGTCCCTGCATGTTTCCTATTAATCCGCTCTTATCTCACAGATAGAACCTTTAAAGTAAATTGTAACTCTGCTTATTCATCTCTCTTTTCCCATTCCCCTGGTGTTCCTCAAGGGAGCATCTTAGGTCCCATCCTTTACACAGTATATACAGCTGGTACCTACCTATCCTTCAACCGTCCTCACTATACTGATGACACATGTGTGTTATCTGTCAATAATAAACCAACTATTGCATCACAAACTCTGCAGTCACATATTTTTAGCTATTGAAGAGTGGTGTGCAAATTGGAGAATTAAAATTAATCCAAACAAATCCCAAAAAATTACTTTTACCCTTCGCCCTAAACCTACAACATTCTGTCCTACCGTATTCTTCAAGAATATTCCACTGATACCTGTCGAACAGGGATTTACTTGACAAATATTCTAAACTTCAAATATTCTACAAAAAAAACTTATTAACAGTACCATGATCAGGTTCATTTGGACATATGGTATTGAGCTTTGGGAATCTACAAAAAACATCAAATTCTTCCCGTACCTAATCCTTACAATCCAAAATCCTCCTTAAAATCCTAAATGCTCCTTATTATGTAACAAATAAAATTATCCATAAGACCTCTACATTCCTTTGTGGATGACCTTGGCCCAAACTAGATATACCTCTTTTAATTTCAAACTCTTTGGTCTCCCAATCCTCTAGTTCGTAAGCTTTCATCTAATACAATTCCTGACAACCGTTGGAGGCGTCTGAAATGAGATGCCCAAGGGACCTCCTAAATTAATTTATCTTTGAAGTGTTACCAATGGGTAGCTTCTTCACAAGTACCTTCATGTTATATATTCCTATAGCAGATTTACTAGTTGTACATATGTTTAGAGTTGACAATTTCAATAAAATAATAAAAAAATATATATACATAAGCAATAAACATTGATATAAAATTATACAAGGTCGATTCTAAACTGTTCAGAGTGGAAGATCGATTGTTAAAAAGGCTAACTGGGCAGTGGGAAGGAGAGGGAGGGTCCAGCGAAGAATGCACAAGCTGCGAGAGGGCAACTATGCGGCTCGGCCGGTGCAGGCCATTCACCGCTCTGGGTCCGGTCCTGCCAACCCAAAAATATTTTATATTTAGCCAACAATTCCACTTATATTTTATTTTCATGTATTGTTATTTCTATAGTTGTGTCCGTGTTTAATAAGAATGTGTATCGATTTTTATATGGATGAACTCGAATTGAATATCGGAACTGACCTAAAACTTAAGTTAGTTACTGTAGTTCTTTCGGTATCGCTGGACGTAAGCCTTGATAAAGATCTGCAAACTAGATTGAAACTTAGGCTATCCATTAAACACTATTCCAATATATTATGTGTGATATTGTTCCCTGCATCCTTCGACCAACTACTCCTTAAATTTGAACTTAAGCGATAAATTATTCCATGATGTAACATTTTAGGACAAAAACTTCTTGAATGCATGAATGAATGAACTTTTTATTCAGTATTTATACAATAACATACAACAAAAGTATCAACAAGCTCACATATTCACAACCTCCCCACACCTGTGATCTATTACTATAAAATTATTCTACTGCAAAATTGGAAAGTACCCCATCTACTCCTGCCCAGTTTTGGCTCTACAAGCAGATAAATATAAGTTTCGCGTCCCTCTTTCTCTCTCGTACACACATATTGTGTGTGAGTGTATAGAAACATACACGTGTGAGTGTATTAATGAGAGGATGACTAGATATTGCGATCAGAAGAGGCCGACTTCTTCGAACCGCCTGAGGAACACGCGGACCGGTTCCTTAGTGCAGGTATCAGATACCGATCGAGAACTCCCTCTCCCCTCTCATCTGCTCGGGATACGCCCCCGCCAGGAATGCCGGCTCCTAAACAAGTCCAATTACAAATGAATTGGCCCCACCATTCATCATATTTATTGTTTCCTCTCTATCGCTACTCCTCCATCTTCGCGGAGGTCGCTCCTATCCCAGCGATGGTTATCTGCATCCGGGTGTGGACTCCTGGGGGTGACCGACATTGATGGTCTCGTGCAAGCGTAAAGAGTTCAACGTGAAGTGGAGCGGTGGGTGCCGATAAAAAATATGAGCACGATATGAGCAAGCTGTTGAATCCAAAAGTGTTTTAAGTGAAAAACAATTTCTAAAAAGTTTTTCTTATTCATGGAATTTAAAACTTTATTATAGCTAAAATACTACCAATAAATGTATACACAGAAATATAATGAAATGAAAAGATTTCTAGAGAATCTATCCACTGGTCATCTATCACGAGCACATCTTCAGACACCGCGGATGGTTTTCAAGGAACGAAGAAAAAAATGTTAGAAATGATTCTGAAGTTTATAATGAAAATATAGGTATAATGATGTAGAGTTGGTTGACCGTTGATATGATATGAGAAGGAATTAGTCGAGGGTGCGGTCAAAAAAAAAATAAAAAAAAATTAAAATATATAAATAATTTTAATTTTTGCCGACGTTTCGACCCACTTTGCAGGTCGTCTTCAGGGCGTTGGATGTGGCACTGCGGGAGGCGGTTGAAACACTGTGTTTTAAAAACAAAGTGTTTCAACCGCCTCCCGCAGTGCCACATCCAACGCCCTGAAGACGACCTGCAAAGTGGGTCGAAACGTCGGCAAAAATTAAAATTATTTATATATTTTAATTTTTTTTTATTTTTTTTGACCGCACCCTCGACTAATTCCTTCTCAGAAAATATAGGTATTTGGATTGGACCAAATCGGAAACATATGGAAGCTTAAGGTCATTATGGATTATTTTATTTGTGATTGAGGAATTTACGAAGAGTTTTCAATTATATTGGCATTATTGGTCGAGTCCTAAAGTTCAACTCCACAAGTCCAATTATTTTTTTTATTTTATTTGTTTATTTAGAAATATTACATTCTGTCACAATCAATGACATTTATAATAGTGTTCAGACAGCACACTCTCACTCTATTTACAATAAATAAAAGTAAATAATACAGAAATTAATAATAATAGAAATAAATGTATATAAACAAAAGAACTAACCTAATCAAAATAACAACTAAAACACATGCATACTATACAATATTTACGGAATCCATTCACTCAGAAGAACTCCGGGCCAAGCGTTTAACCCCACTCGTGGAAGGAAAGGCAGGACTCCAGGCATTATTAAAGATGTGTATATAAGTCTTTTGAAATTGATTGAAAGCTTAGAATAGATACTACTCCAATTTATTATGTGTGGCATTGTTTCCTGCATCCTTCGGCCAACTTAAATTTGAACAGCGATAAATTATTCCACGATGTAACATTTTAGAACAAAAACTTCTTGAATGAATGAATTTTTTATTGACTATTTATACAATAACATACAACAAAAGTATCAACAAGCTCACATATTCACAACCTCCCCACACCTGTGATCTATAACCTATAATTGATTTAACTGCAGCTTTGAAAACTTTAAGTTTTGCATTCAAACTTATTTTATTTTAACTAAATAGCTTCTTCCATATAACATTAATAATGATCATTGTTTTAGAAACTTTTTTTTTTTTAAATACTTACTCATTGATAAATTTGGTGTTAATAATATCCCTATTGTATATAGGTGTGTATGTGTTCTTTTTATTTATTTATTTTTAGGTTATTTTATTCTTGTTTATTGTATATATATTATTTTTCTGTGTAATTTGTTTTATTTTATTTGTACATAGAGTGTGAATGTGATCTGTGAACTCTATTATAAATGTGCTAGAGACAGATTGTAATATTTTTCAATAAATAAGTTTAAAAAAAAAATAATAATAATATCCCTAAATATTTATACATTTTTCGCCAGTTCCCTCCTTTTCTAAATATCATAATTTCAGATTTATTTTAAATTCCACGTCCTACGACAAATTTCCAAATTATACATAATATCTTGAAGGACTATAGGGCGTATATACGATAAATACATTATACGATCAATTATTCCACGATGTAACATTTTAGAACAAAAACTTCTTAAATAAGCCTCAGAAACGGATGAGAAGTAATTTAAGTCTACAGAAAGCTAATAAATTAGTTATAAATTAAGTTAAATACAATTATTTATTGTATTATTTATTTTTAGGCAATGCACATAGTCATCGTACTGTGGAGTCTGGATACTAGTACAAACTAACATTAAAATATAATAATATTGCAATTATTTTAGGATTTAGGAACCTAGGAAAACTTTATTTTAGAAAAAACAATATCAAATATAGAAAGTAATGGGGAGTGACGAAAAATTATAAACAAAATCACTGTTGATTATGATTTTGCCCATTTATGGTTTATTTATTGCCCTTGGCTTTATTCTGTTTATTTTAAGAATAACTATAAAATAAAATATTATCCAGGAAATATAACAGTAGAGCTAAATATTTTTGTTTTACTATCAATTGAGAAATGGAAGAGGCTTATAATTAGCTTTTACGACAATACTACCGCAGCATCAATTAGTGACGTCATGGTTATTTGATTACAACTGATCTTATTAATTATTATTACTAATACAATACATTAATTAAGAACATAGATACAATTTTATAAATATTTTATTCACTAAAATAGGCACATGCAAGGACTTCTGCAGCGTGTGCTTCCTCGCAACCTGCCGACATTCCTCAGCCACTTTTTTAGACCCGCTTCAGACCGAATAAATAGGTCCTCTGTACATCTCCTTATAGGACCTGTCCTTAATCCGCACCCACTAGTATAAGGAGTATTTTTTACCAACAGTGAAATCGCAATGTGCAATAAGTATTTATTTTAGTTACAATTTAATTCTCGGCTAACTTATTTTAAAGCACAAAAGGTGAGATTAGTTGATCAATAAAATGCGTTATAAAATGAGCTAGAGACAATGATAAAGTTAAATATGAAATTTTCACACTTACGTAAAATTTCACATTTTTATATTCAGTCAATTTCCTTCCAAGTAAAAGAAAAAATGATTTACCGTAAAATTTTTTTCGTTATTATACCAATATTGAATTATTATATCATTTTTTTCTCCATACTTACATCCCTATTTGTTTGCAATAACATAATTAATACATATGCATCATCAAGAGAGCGGGTAGTTCAGTGGTAGGCTACTGAGGCTTCTGATGCTAAAGGTCCCAGGTTCGAATCTCGGCTCATGGTAGAAAAATTATTTATTCTGTTTCATCGGCCGTGGGGTGATATTGTGTCGGGAGACCGTCCTGGAGCAAATCGGTACATCTATAAAATCGGTACCCTTAATTAAAATAATTGATTAAGGGGACAAATCTGGCGGTTGAGCTAGATCTCGGTCAAATCAACTCCTTGCAAAACTGTGCAGACCAAGAAACAGTGCTTTCCTTGAATAGTACTGAACCCAAGAATCTTCATGGGTTGTAGTGGTACAGGTTATGCAATATCAGGGCTACCTACCTCAACCTCTCCTAAGATATTTTATTCCTCTCTTCTTCTTAAAAACAGTGCAAACAAAAGTAGAATTTGAAGGAAGGAGATGGTCCGGGGTGGCGGTCATAAATAGGCTAAATAATGGTAAAACTATTTTATTGAAAGCCGAAGTTTCACTTAGAACTGAAACTGATTGCTCTTGTTCGTTTTGTGTCCTATTTCTTGAAAAATGTATTCATATAGGCAACTCATTATGATTCCTAGCAGTATAATGCTTCCTCATTACTTTCATTTATTTTTCTTTACTTTCATTCTTTTATATAGTGTGAATGGTTAAGCTTAACTCAGAGATGGGCTAAAACGGAATCAATGATTACATGATTAAAACTTAAATAAAACTTAATGACTTTTATAGTTATAATGACCCAATTTTATACTTAATTCAATATTGTAAAAATGCCATAAGATAAGCTGATTACAATTATAACCGTAAAAATAATCACTGTTTATAGAAATATGCTTTAGATGTGACAGCAACTTTTTCCTGAAAATAGGCTAACCGAAAGTACGACTTTATATCTACGATTAAATACATTTTTACAATATTCTCAAAAATGACTCAAAAAAGTACTTTTAATTTGGTTTATTTAAAATAAATAACCATCTCTCATTAACAAGAGTTAAGAAAAAATGCAAAATATAACTTTTGAAAGCATTGAAAAATGGAGAAAAAAAGGGCAAATGTGTATTGAGGTCGAAAATTTCCGGAAATACTATTCAGAAGGTGTACGTATAATATATCGTAGGGAAGAGGAAATTTTTAGGAAAAAAACAATATCAAATATAGAAAGTAATGGAGAGTGAAAAATTGTAATCTTGTAATCAAAATCACTGTTGATTCTGATTTTGCCCATTTATGGTGTACTTATTGCCCTTGTCTTTATTCTGTTTGATTTTAGGATAAATATAGTCTAAAATATTATCCAGGAAACATAAAAGTAGAACTAAATCTTTTTGTTTTACTTTCAATTGAGAAATAGGAGATGCATATAATTAGCTTTTACGACAATACTACCGCAGCATCAATTAGTGACGTCATGGGACGCTGCAGCTGTGACCTCAGTGTCGATCGGTGACGTCATAGAGCTCACCTTGAATGGCGCTAGGGTCAACGGAACGGTAGGCTTGCTCGTGGCCAAAATTTATCGGCGTCATCCACCTTGGCGCCCATTTACCGTGGAATAATTTTTAACTAATATATAATACATAATGCCATACAAATATATTTAAGTAAAAACAAGGTACATATATTTCTTACTAAAATCCTGATATTAAACAGTATAAATATATAAAAACTTTTCTGTTATACTTGAGAAACCATAAGACTCTAAAGTTTAATAGATCTCTAGCATGATAAGAATAAATTGACAAATCATACGATACATATTTTTGGAGAAGGATGTTCAGAAGGGGTCGAATTGCGCAAGTTGCGACATCAAAGTTCTGGGGTATATTTTTCGAAATTTTGAAGGCGTTATGAATATTCAGAGTGAACCATATTCTTTATGGTAAAAACATCGATTTTTTATTTGGTTTCGTAGATAATT